ACTCGTTGACTCTCCCGTGAGGAATTATCTCTTGCACCATTAAAACTTTCTTAAACTCGATCCCCTGTAGATGCCGCTACCTCTAGTCTGATGCACACATAGATCTTTCTGCCCTTACCTGGGTGGCGACCATGTTCGCGGGAAGTGACTGCTCATTGAACACGAACGCTCCAGTCACCCTCCTGTGAGCAAGAAAATAAACGGCAAACGCGGGTTATTACGTACGTCCTCTCCCTTCTCGCTCCCTCCTGCGACTCAACCGCCTGCTCTTATATTATCTGGTCACGGTCTGACCTCTCTCTCTCCTATCTCTCTCTCCTGTCATTCTCTCTCTCCTCTCTCTCTCTCTCTCTCTCTCTCTCTCTCTCTTCTCTCTCATCTCTCGCTCTCTCTCTCTCTCTCTCCCTTTCTCATACATAATGCACACACCCAACGAACCGACTCGTACTATCGCCTCAAGCTGCCGCCGAGCCGTGACGACTCCGGCGACGCAGGTGTCGGCCCGTGCGGTGCCTTCACCCACCTGCTGGACGACCTGTTTCCACCAGCTCGCGGAAGTTCAAGCTCGGATGCGTTGCCGCCGCAGTGCTGAGCGAGCTTTTCGCGACTACCTCCGTGTCGTCTCCGACTCAACTCCAAGCCCTTGCTTCACCTGCAAGTGCACAACGTCGGCCACCGCAACGCATCTATGATATCGCCCCCCCCTGTTTATTTTTTTTGTTGTACTTTAAAAAAATAAATTTTTCTCAGTTGTTTGTTATATTTTTTTCATCTTATCTGTTAATCTTTTTGTCTTATTATAGTATTTATAGTTTTACACATTATTTATTATATTTCTCGTATTTCTTTAGCGTCACATTACCTTCGTGATGCCATTGACCTTATAATATTATAGGTTATTACTGTAAATCCACCCAATGGTTATTCATTATTGCAAAGGCGCCAATCCGTCATCGTTATATATTACCGCCCAGTTACTGCTACCATTGTAATAAATGCCAGTGATATGTACCCCAAGGGTATATAAGAAGGATGGTGTCGCCAACACGGCTCCGGTGCTTTGTACCCACAGGGCATGAATTAGGTTCACCCTCCTTATTCAACCACACGAAGTAGTAGTTACGTAGCAACATATACGGACTATATATATATATACACATATATATATATATACTATATATATATATTATATATACATACATTATTATGACGGATATACATATCAAAAAAGTAGACTTACCAGGAACTTTTTGATGTCCTTATAGTTTGTGATGATGCCGTTGTGAACTACGATGAACTCTGTGAAATGCAAAAAGCGAATGAGGGTCGAACGCGAAAAATAAGCTAATCTTACGTCTTACTAGCCTGAATTCCTTGCTTGGAACGCGAAGGAATAAGCTTAATCTTTACGTCTTACTAGCCATGAATTCTCTGGCTTGATACGCCGACAGAAAAGCTAATCTTACGTCTTACTAGCCTGAATTCTGCGTCGAACGCGAAGAATAAAGCTAATATTTATACGTCATTACTAGCCTGAGATTCCTGCCTAATCACAGGAGTCGTTTGCGTCTCTGATGTTACAATGTGATATTGATTAATCGTTATAACTACGCAGCCCTGTGACGGATAGTTGTCCTCTGCACAGGAATACGTCTAAAACACCATTTGTCTTCGGCGCTAGCCTACATGATTTCTATCTTGTGGTGATCATTTCCGCTCACCGTTGGAGACCGGCACTCTCTGCGGATGGCCAGGGAGGTGCTGTTCACCCAGTCGGCACACCTTGTGGGTGGCCCAGCGCGGTGCGTGTTGCTCGATGCCGGCTGTGCCGATGTTGAAGACTCGTCAAAGTCGGAGCGGTCTCCGTTCCGACTGAACGATGGAACAACGCGATAACGACTTTAACTGCGAATATGACGCACGATCGCCTCCCCCGAGATAACATAACCACACCACGAGTCGCAGCTGAGAAGGTGTATCAAGGTTATCTCGACCAGAGTTTAAAATCCATAAATGGCGCTAATAGGATTATTAGCTAGATATACCAATTGCGATTAAAGCCTGTAGGAATTAGGGGTATAGTGCCGAGGGTGAGGCGTCAAGGTTATAGGTTTAGAAAATTTGGCGATATAATATCCGGCATTCTGATCCATTATTATTTTATCCCTGTTACACAGTTCATAATTAACTGACACGATCTCTTCATCTCCTAACGACTTCGACGCGGCGCCTATTTCGTGGGGGAAGCAAACAAAAAAACAGTGAACAACAATAAAACATCACGTGTGCCATTCGCGACGCGACATTCGTCCCTATCTCCGATGCGAATCCGGTCGACGAAACAGAAGCCTTGGGAACGGCTTGTATGCGAACGGGGAAAGTCTGCACGACATTTACTGTGGGTGCGACGGGTGTCGCCAGGTCGAGATCAACGTTCATACGGCGGCCGGGAGAGGACACTCACTTGTGGTTTCTCTTCGTCCAGCCGCGCGCACTTTGCCCTGCTTCTTGATGAGGCAGATGCTGCAAGTCCTTCCTCCGAGTTGCTGCCCTGGATACCAGATGCCTGCACGACGGGATCGGACGCCGGCGACGAGAGAGCAAGAGAGAGAGAGAGAGAGATCGAGAAAAGAAGGAAGGATACGAGCATTACGAATGAGATCTGACACATGACACATTGATATGAACCACAGTGTGCTCATGATTTTGTCTATCGATCAAAGCCTTTTAATTTCTCGTCAAATGACGAGACCCACAGCGTCCTTATGGTAAACAAGGTCTAAAAATGCACGGTTTGCCCATCGAATTGTGTGAGAAGGGGAATTCCCTGGAGCCGTTGCAATCAGATCACGAAAATGAGTGTGTTACGCAAAATATAGCTCGATGTAGTAAATTGAGTTTCAGCTGAGTTGCTGAAGGGGCTATCCGACTATTCGAAATGCTAGCCTCTAGAACTATACTACCATTACTATAGACCTTCGCTTCCGCCACAGGAAGCCGCCGCCTCCTGTGGCGGAGCCGAAGGGCATAGCCTAGTTCATAGAGGCTATCGAAAATGCCAACTAAACACTCACCGCGGAATCAAAACTCGGTACTCTTTGCTTTGTAGACCATTGATCAGAAAAGGGCGACGGATCTCTTTGCGCTCGTTCTCGCGAACCAAGTGGTTCAGAATATCAAAAATTCCTGAATAAAATTAAATATTACAATTTACAAACAATGAGCTGAAATTTCGAGCGCATGATGATAAAACTAAATGCCTAAAGACGCTAAAGCCCGGTAAAGGCATTGGCATGACGTGTAGATCGGTATACAGCCGTACAGTGAGGTAGTAGGTTACGATAATAAACTAAGGTAATATCATGTGGTGACAGGATCTTTCCTACTTTACCACTCACATGGTATAGCAGTAGATCGGGAAACAACGTTTGCAAGTCGTTTCAGTGTGATCAAGACATAACTAATGTTCAATTATCAACTAAATCAATTCTGACACGATCAACATTCAATGCAATCAACTAATTGATCAAGCAAGTGGCCGTTGCTGTCAACGTGTATCTGCCTCCACTCAGGTAAGTTCCGCGGTCACGTGTAAAGAGAGCCGCATAGGGCGAGATGAGCGCCAGTAAACTCCGAAATTACTTTTTTGCGAAAAACCAGTCAGAAGTTAGTGCGGAATAGGAAAATGAATCTCAGACCAATCCTTTGTACCAGATATTACACATATGCATGAAATTCCTGGTCTTGCTGTCATCTGGCACGACGCGAAGAGTGAGTTTTTAATGCAGCCAAACAGTTTCGACGGGAAATGACACTATTCACTTGTCCCTTTACTACCCTCGGCGAGCGGGAAAATGCAGTCTGGGTCAAGGTCTGGTCACTCGAGATGGCCAATGACGTTTTTAGAAATAGGTTTAAACAATACGGACGCTTCGTTAAAACACCGGTCGACGGTCGTCTGTTCTCGATTATTGCGTCGACGGCGTGGGCGAACTATGCAGGCTGTGTCGGCTAGCAGATTCTCTTCGAAAGTTGATGCTTTTTCGCAGTTTGTGTCAGTTCAGCGGAACTAAACGTCACAGCAGAAGGTAAGATAAGAATAGATCGCTTTCCCATGCGTGAAAGCCGTGGCTGTCCGTTCACGTTTAACGTATTGACAAGCTGGGCTTGGCTGGATGGTATGAGACCCCAACGGCAAGTGCCTGCCACAAAAATCATAACACCAGTGGCAAATCATGTCAACAACATAACACGAGGAAATCATATATTGATTCATAAATCATAGTTCATACATTTATCTAGCGGCAATATATTTTTACACGCCCCTCGTGGACACAGGTTACCACGCCATACGTACTACCTCTCGTAGTTAAGTTCTAGACAAGATATTTCGACAGCAATTTTAGTTGAAATACAAATACCGAACCAAACGATAAGGCCGATGAAAGTTGATTTCATGGCTTCTCGTCAGGCCATTGTTGAGATTTTTCATGAGGGATTTTAGATCAAACATTCATCTCTTCAATCTACAAAACCAACTAGACTTAGTGAGGGTTCAGGTCTTTGTACATATGAAAATAAGTTGAAAAATGTCCATTAACTTCTTTGTGGACTAGTTTTTACTCCAAATTTTACTGTTTGTTCTTCCATAATGTAGTGCTGACTGCTAGAATTGTTGCATTTTTTGAGGCGGGAATTTCTGATATGGGACTTTTATGAAATGCCGGGAATTTTCGTTCAGCGAGTGAGTGTGAACTTTTTTGGTGCGGGAGTAAAAATTTGGATGCGGGCGCGTACAGAGAACGCATGGACATCAACTTTCATCGGCCTATGGTGTTTAGTTGCGCATTGCCACGTGACGAATTGAAGAAATTCGTGGTGGAAACTAACCGTGCATCGGGATCACTGTACTGTAGTCTTGTAACTCCCAGGCACTTTGGGAACGTCTCAATAAAAAAAAAATAAAAAAAGGGTAAATAAACCACGACATGTATTACTACCAAGTTTTAATGGTTATCTCTACTCTATTGTGCGCCTATAATCACTGTAAATGACGGTTCAAATGCTCTCTGAACACACAAGTACACCGTTCACGCTAGCCTGCTGCACACTGACACATAAATATATAGCAGGTAGGAAAGCCGTACTGCCAAAATTTCGCTCGACGCTCTGCTTGATTTATTTTTCCCCAACCCCCCACGAAATTACAACACAACACACTTCAACCATTCTACTTCCATCTTTGCTTTCTATTGAGGGCAGTGTTCACTTGCTTATAAAAACATACTGCTGTTTCGCTAACCGAGCTTGTCACGGCGGAAATCACACACAGCCTGACGCAATTCTCGCAATTCGCTCCCGCATTGCCGCAGTCTTATGTAAATTGGCTGCAAGTACAGGGCTGTGCATAGTAAATTAGGCGCGCACTGGCATTTTCGGCCCGAAACTACCACGCTGCTTTACAACTCCTATCTGAGCCTCGTCAAAGCCGCCAAGCTGGAGCGTTGCAATAATTTGCTGCGCAAAAAATGAGGTCACGAGAGCCGCGGTGGGTGTTTTTCTTTGATGTCGACAGCCATTTACATAAACTGCGCCAACTGGAGCAACGCTGAGAATTTTGATTCAGGTTGTGTGTGATTTCGCGTGACACAGTCTCGGTTACGAACACAGACAGTATTTTTTGTATTAACAAGGTGAACACTGCCCTTCAATAAAACAAGATGGAAGTAGAACGTCTGAATGTTTGTGTTGCGTTTCGCTGTGAAATCAAGGCGAAGCGATCAGCACTCTCCCCGCGAAATCTTGGCAGGCCACGCTTTCCTACCTGCTATATATTTAATGCGTCAGTGTGCAGCAAGCATTAGCCGCATTGCGGTGTTACTTGTGTGTTGAGATGAGGCATTTTATGACCGGCATTTACAGGCTGATTATAATATAGGCGAAATAGCAGTAGAGAAACATTATAAATGACCTTTTTGGTAGTAAATACATTTCGTGTATTATTTAGCCTTTTTTTTCGTTGGGAAGACGTTCCAAGTGCCTTCGGTGATTGTAGACTGTGGTGTTACGATGTTCATGTGGCAAAGGTGTTGGCTAGTGCTATTGCTAAGACACAAACTAAACAGCTCAAGCATAACTTCCACAGATGTAACATTGAGCACTTATGTTTGCCTATTAGAAAATGTTGTTTACAATCACAGCTTAGCTTATGACTTGAGGTAGACTCCGCATGTAATAACGATGTAACTAGACAGAGGCACTCACGGAGAGCTGCATACCTTCCGCGAGCATGCTAACATGTTATGTGCTCGCTGGTTGGCGCGCTGCTGACTGCACTCGCCTTGCTGCTGACTCGCACGCTCAGCTGCGTGGCCTGCCTGCTGGACTCACCACTCGCTGACCTCGACGCGTATCGATCGCGTGCCAAAGGCTACAAACAAAACCCACACACACACACCACACACACACACACACACACACACACACACACACACACACACACACACCACGAGAGCCGATTACAATTACCTCCTGCAACTCCGTATTGCGGCGGAGGTATAACAGATAGCATTATGTAACTGCTCCTGACTTCAGGTAGTGCTCTGTGATATGCCCAACTTGTAATTGTAGCGTCCGCATTGCTGGTGGTGGTGTATTTTTGGCATGTCGCGAGTTTGTCAAATCTGCAATCGAAACATGCACAGCTTGAAGCGATTCCAACTTGATCGGCCATCTTGCGATACTTCAGTGCAGTTGGCAATCCGACAAAAAG